AGTTTATTGATCAATAACTTTTCTCTGGTATCTCTTTTGGTATGGATCCCTCTGTTATTATTTTCCATCTATTTATGTTGATGATGTAGTGTTTGTTGGAGAATGGAAGGAATCTAACATCATAATATTGTTAGAGTTCTTTAGTGATTTCATTTGGCCTCTGGTTTCAAAATTAATCACCATATTGATAAACTATTAGGTATCTAGGTCCAAGCGAGCAAGCTGAGGATGTGGTGGTTCATATAAGATGCATGATGATGAAAGTTCCTTTTTCTTACCTTGGCCTTCTTGTTGGTGATAACATACCCATATTAGAGTCTTGGTGTGAGGTGGTGCAAAATGTGGTTGTTGAACTTTCAAATTTGAAGGACAAAACTTTGTCGATTGGAGGGAGATTGACATTACTTAAGTTTGTTTTGGTTGTGGTGACCACTTATTTTATATTTCTTTATAACAAACCTATGTGAGCCTTAAAAAATTAGAAGAGTTGTGTAATAGTTTTTTCTAGGGGGGTATGGAAGAAAAGAAAATGGCTTTGATAAGTTTGAAGACTATTTTATTATAAAAACTGTTTGGTGGATTGGGTGTAAACAATTTGTTAGCTCTTAACCATACTCTTATGTTTAAGTGGATATGGTGTTTTTAATCTAATCCTCATGCTTTATGGGTTAGACTTATCAAGGTCATCCATAGGAGTAATGATTTCATTGGCAGTGTCTCACATTCTTGGAGGAATTCTATTTGGCGGAATATTCTAAAGGCTATGGCGCACCTTAACAATTGTATGGGTGAATCTTTTATAGTTGTATCAAAAAAAGATTGGTGATGGGTCTTTAAACTTGTTTTGGGAAGACACTTGCTTAGGTGGAGCTTCTCTAAAAATTCAATTTAGTAAGTTATTTAATTTAGAGGTGGATTCCTTACTAGAGCAAAATTCCTTAGTAGAGTCTTTTCGCAAACACCTTAAGGGCGGGAGTCTCCAATAGGACGATGTTATCCCTCTTATTGGATCGGGTTTTTCCCATGTTTCTGGTAGGTAGTCTTGGTCTTTATAAGACATTGGGGGGGGGGGGGGGTTGCGGCACAAGCTTTTATTGATGGAAAAAAAATTATCCGCTTCTTCCACTTTTACCAGACGGATTCATGTTGTCCCCATTAAAATTTATATTTTTGCTTATGTCTATAGATAAGCATCTTACTAATCCATTTAGAAAGTCGTGTTTAGGCACCCATTTGTTATTATGTCCTCTTTGTGATGTTGACATTGAGACAACTAGCCATTTGTTCTGTGAGTGCTTGTTTGCTCTTGAAGGTCATTCTCATATCAGTAGATGGTGAGGTATCACGGTTCCTCATTTAGTATCGTATGCTGGTTGGTTGGTTTTTGTTCTCTCTATTCGTCTTTTGAGAGTTGTAAAGATCTGTTTGGAGGGGGATTTTTACTCTGCTCGGTGGCATATTTGTAGTTTTAGGAATTCTCAATTGTTTGTGTTTGTTAAATCGAGAGCGACAGTTCTCTTTAATAAAATAACATAGTCTTTCATTTGGTGTAATGTTAAGTCTAAGAAATACATCAATTAGGTTGGATGACTTTAAAACCATCAATTGGCTGTTATATGATGATTTTTATGGTCGACTAGTTTCTTGCTAGTTCTTTCTCGTTTTTTAACAAATCTCTAACGTTAAAAAAATATCGATTTGTAGGTAAGATGTCTTCTTTCCACAAAGGTTGAAGGTTCAAATATTATTTGGAACATAAATATATTTAAGAAGTAGATTTTATGAGTAAATTAGATAGTATATGTTGCTATTTTTAAATAGATTTAGGAAGTAAATTCTAAAAATAAATTAGATTAGTATATGTTTGTCATTAAAAAAAAAAAAAAAAAAAAAAACCAAGGACCCGTATAACAAAAGGGACCATACATGGTCTCTTTTGTAACTCGCATGTGTCATATGTATAATTTTGTCTATTTCTTTTACATAAAATGAGAATGAGACTTCGTACATATAATTGTTTAAACCTCTTTACCCACCCCCATAACCACTCCAAACTTCAAACACATCAAAAGAGACGGTTCCTCTCCATCATCTCTCTCAAACACACTCTCGCTGTCTCTGTGTGAAATCAACAAGGAGTAGCATGGATACGCGGCGATTCGATTACAATCTTCTCATCATCACCGGAACACTTCTCTATCTTCTCCAATCATCATCGTCTCTCAAGGTCTGTTCCCTTTCTCCGATCATTCATTTTCCCCAAAGTTCTTAATTTCTCCACTCTCCACATAAACAGATCGGAGAAACTTGTTCCACAAGCAACAACAACTGCGATTCCGGTTTGCGCTGCGGAACATGTCCGGCGAGTGGCAATACTCGCCCTAGATGTGTTCGCATTCAACCCCTCAGTCCTACTTCTAAGGTACGTCGGTTTTATCAGTTCTTCAATGGAGTTTGTTTGTGATTCAATCAATTGAGAATCGAAGTGAAAAGGTTGATTTTGTAATTTTGTGGAATTTTTTGGAATTACAGGTGAATGGGTTGCCGTTTAATCGGTATACATGGCTGACAACTCACAATTCATTTGCGGTTTCCGGCACAAAATCGATATCCGGTGGAATGCTTTTGGGTCCGGCTAATCAGGAAGATAGTGTTACATCTCAACTACAAGTAAGTAAAATGAATTCTCTCTCTCAATTATCTTAAAAAAATCAAAATCCATGAAAAATAATTTAGATAAATTCGTACTCAACACTATTTGCCATGGTTTTTTTAGTTTTTTATAGGTTTTATATGACAAAATACAATTTTTTTTAGATATAACACATTGGTTCTATGCTTTATGCGCATTTTGTTATTGATTTTTAATATATGGTTATAGTTAATAATATTAAATGTGATTGTAGAATTATCAATGAAATAATCAATGTTTTAGGTTGAAAGTTCAAAGTTGGAACACTATTGTTGAACCCGTATATACCTTAATTGTTGACATTGTCTTAGCATGACAAAGTTTATAAACGAATGTATGAATCATGAAATATTAATTTAAAAAATACAAATCAACTTAAAATATGTTATTTTATACAATATTTATTTTATGCGTACTACAAAAACCATTTGTACCATTTTGTCTTTATTTAATTAATAAAGAATGAGATGGAAATGATATGGACACTACAAAAGTACAAGTTTTTATGGTAGCTTTTGTGATAGGCCATGACAAAACTTTTGTAAAAGGCTTGTTGATTAGGTGTTTGTGTTCTCTTTTTAATTGATTAGGTGTAGGGAATTATTTTATTATTTAATTAGTTTGTTGAATTAATTGTAGCTTATGGTATACGCATGTGATCTCTGTTTTATTCCACATGTCGGGTTGTATAATGATTTATTTACTAAATCAATGTTTTTATACCAAGAAAAGAAAAGTTGTATTCATGGTTAAATAAATTAAAGGACAAGCTAATTGCACACTGACCCCAATAATATATTTATTAAAAGGAAAAGGATAAACAAAATATCTGAATTATTGAAGAAAGGCGTCATTGAGATCCTTTAATTATATAACATAAAGTTGATCTTTTTTGCAAAATATATTTAGATGAATCATATAGAATTCATTACATTTTTTTTTTGTATAATAATGATAAAATTTATTTTTAATACATATAATATAATTCAAGGTATTTTTTTTAAACTTGATAGATTTTCAGGAAAAAAAAAACTTCATATCTGTTAGTTACTTAGGTGTTACATATTGGACTTGTATCTTTTTATTACAATTATTTTATAAACTATGTTATTAGACAATTATAACTAAAATAAATTATCCTTATATACCTTTATCTTTAGAAAAAAAAAAAGTTATAATACACAACACACATAAACTGTATTATATATGGAGTATTTTTATATATTGGAATATTATTATACAAATAACAAACTAAAAATTGCACTATTTCAAAGTTCGATAATCAATTCGTACAAAGAATACTTTATTATCAAATTCCAAATTTGATGTTAATAAATATTATAACGTCTCTTTCAAAAAAAAAAATTATAACAACGTATTTAATATTTTATTATTTGATGTAACAAATGGTGTCGGATTGTATTAACTTTGTTCCAAAATTTGTGCAAAATTTGGATTTGATGTTGGGCCCGATATGCCCTTAAAATGTTATGTTTTAACCATAAAATATAAAACAAGTTAGATATCCAGTTATTATCGAATTGGGTGTATATCTAATTATAATTCAATTATCATCATATTATTATCTAATTGGTGTCAGATTATTATCAAATGGTGTCAGATTATTATCCAACATTATGTTTTATTTTAAACTTTAAAGTGTTCATTTTATAATTTTAATATCATTGTTATTGTAATTTGGTTGGAAACTTGGAACTATGAATTTTAACTTCAAATTTATTATTTTTTAAATAGCTATCAAATTTTGATTGAACTTTCAAATTGAATCTTTAAAGTATTATTTGAAACATATGGTTTTTAATTAATTTATCAATGTTATTTTAATATTTCATTCCTTCTAATTAGATGGGCATTCAATAGATCCAAATAAATGTATTGGATACCCAATAAATAAAAAACCGATCCATTTCAATATTCGATTGTCATATCTAAATTGGATTGAATTGGTTGCAACTTTTTCCTCTAATTCAAAGTGTTAATTTCTTATACATATTTTGGGAGTTTTGTCTAAATTTATTATACAAAATAAATCAAATAAATACAAAATATGAAACAAATTAAAATGAAATTTCTTCAATGTAGAATGGGGTTCGAGGGCTAATGTTGGATATGTACGACTTCAACAACGATATCTGGCTATGTCACTCCTTCGGTGGCCAATGCTATAACATTACAGCATACGTAAGTTCAAAAACTCAAACAAAATCCCAAAATTTCCATTTTATAATCATTCATAAACTTTCAATTTTCATGTTTTGATCTTACAGACACCCGCGATCAATGTGCTACGAGAAATCGAAAAGTTTCTGAAAGCAAATCCATCAGAAATCATCACAATCTTCATCGAAGATTACGTTTCATCCCCAAATGGATTATCAAAGGTTTTCGCCGCATCTGGTCTCAACAAATACCAGTTTCCGGTGAATCGGATGCCTAAAAACGGCGGAGATTGGCCGACGATTACAGATATGGTGAAGCAGAATCAACGATTAATCGTCTTCACTTCCAAATCGGCAAAAGAGGCATCCGAGGGATTTGCGTATGAGTGGACATACATCGTCGAAAATCAATGTAAGTTTTGATTATTGACCTAATTGATTGAAGCTCGTTTTTATCGAATCGAATATGAACACTCGATTTTGAAACCCTAGATGGACAGGAGGGGCAGATTGCTGGTTCTTGCCCTAGTCGATCGGAATCTTCTCCGATGAACACAACGTCGCGATCTCTTGTTCTTCAAAACTACTTCTCGACTAATCCTAATGTCACCGGAGCGTGTATTGATAACTCTGCTTCGTTAATCGCCATGATGAACACTTGCCATTTAGCCGCCGGCAACCGTTGGCCGAACTATATCGCCGTTGACTTTTACCAGGTATGAAGGTTACTTTGACTTCTTAAGTCAAACCTTAAATAAAGGAAATTAATTAAATAATTAATAATCGAGTTGTTTTTCTTTTACTACAGAGGAGTGATGGTGGAGGTGCATCGGAAGCCATTGATGTAGCCAATGGACATTCGACATGTGGATGCCTTAACATTGCTTATTGTGGGGTACGTTTAATAGTTCCTTTATTATATTCACATATAAATTTTTCTAGGAAATTTTATAAAGTTTTAATACTTTGGATAGGTTTAATCTCATATTTATTTTTTTAAATAGAAAATTCTTGATTATCTAATATTATATTATACTTTGTCATTTTCTGTTCAAAAAATAAAAGTTATGATTAAACTGTAAATTGACCTAAAATATTAAGATTTTATCAAAGATTTCCCAATTTTCTAAGACTATTTTCGATGAGCGTAATTGTGGAACAAGACAATCATATATTTTGTACAGACGACACCACAGGTCAAGAGCAAGTCTGTGTCCCACTTTTTTAGATAACAAAAGTTACAGTTTTTTGTCTTAATATCGTGAGTCTAATGGTCCACAGTCCAAATGATCTTGTTCTGTCTTATCTTGTTTTGTCATGTTCTGTATACTAAATGAACATATGTTCTGCAGGTAAATGGGACATGTAATACACCAGTGCTTTCACCGCCACCGCCAGCACAACTGTCACCTGGGGGTTCAAGCAGGTCGAGTGGAACCAGTTTCTCGATTCACAATGCGTATCAACTACGATGGCTTGTGGGTATAGTTTTGTCAACATGGATCTTCATATCATTATAAGTTGTATGTATCTTTAAAGTAATTTCACTCTTTTGTTTACTTGTTAAATTCTTTTTGTATTTCTCGGCTAAAATACGTGCACACACTTGTATATGTCACTCACTCGTTGCTTATGTTGTGTCGAGTTTTCTTTTTTAGTTTTTAGCAAATATAATAACTTGGTTACAACATGTTATAATACATTGGTTTGTAAACTTGTTTTCTCTTTTCTTTTTTACCGGACCACTTGTATAAAAATGTTAAATGGATAAGATAATCACTAACATGACTGAAATTTGTAATCATATTTTTCACTTTTAAAACAGCCTTACTACCAAATTCGATAAAAATGCTCACAATAAGTGAATCATTTTTTTTTCTAGACATGATGTGATTTATGTCTTATACTCTTATTCATTAAAAAAGTATAGCAACTCAGTAAAACGACAAAAGTGTTTGCATGTCTTATGCATGAAAGTCTTTAACTTTACCAAATGCTTTTATATCAAATCATATGAATCTTTATATGTATGGTTTTGCAAACTGCATGGGAATTTAGGGGTGCATAGACCCCACTTGACATGCAACATCACCCTATATCTTTTATTGCAAGACCTATAACTTTAAATATTCACTTGAGTAGAGGCGGATTTATTTTTGAATCCATTTTAAATTGGCAAGCACTATACATTTTAACATCCACCACATATTTAAAGCAAATTGAAAGTAATGGGCCAAAGTTTAGTTGAAATCGTGGGAAAATAATTGTTCTTTCGCTTTATCTATAGCTAACATATTTTCACAATACATCATGTGGTAGAAAAATGAAGGCTATTGTGTTTAGAATCACGTTGGAATAATAGAAAAATTAAGGATTTACGGCTTAGAACACTTCAAATTGAAAACATATTTTCAACCATAATGTTTGACCAAGTGCTTAAGCTATCATCAACGAAGATTGAAAACGTATATTGGTTTAATGATATACTTGGCGTCTCCTTTTCTTGAGGTCACAAGTGTGAAACCAAGCATCATCATTTATTCTCTTTTAATAAATTTGTAAGACTACTTGTATGATGCGTATAAAATTAGTCCTAATAATAAAAATATGTATAAAAAAGTCCACTGGTAAAATAAGTATAAAAAAGCTAAAATTTAATGTCAATAACCACATCACATGCCACATCAATCGGTGACCGAGTTGTTACTCGGTAATTATGTACAAAAATATTCATTAATAGTTTTTTATAGAGTTTAGGTCATTTTTGGTCACTTAACTTTTGCTTTTGTACTCATTTAGTCACTTAACTCTTTTTAAGTTTTAAAAGGTCATCAGTTTTTTTGACTTTGTGCTCATTTAGTCACTTAACGTTTGGTTTGGTCACATTTAGTCACTTAACTTTTAAATATGTGTTCATTTAGTCACTAAACTTTTAAATTTTTTTAAAAGTTTAGTGACTAAATAAGCACAATTTTAAAAGTTAGGTGACTAAATGAGCACAAACTAAAAGCTAAGTGACTAAACCAAAAGTTAAGTGACTAAATGAGCACAAAGTCAAAAGTTTGATGACCTTTTAAAACTTAAAAAGAGTTAAATGACCAAATGAGCACAAAACTAAAAGTTAAGTGACCAAAATTGACCTAAACCCTTTTTTATACATCATATAAAGATTTTTGTTAATACATGTACACTTGCCTCAAAATTGTTTATAATATGAGTACATCGTCCCAAAATTATTGGTAATATCCTTAGAAAACAGGTGGGAGATGGATGTAAAACAAAATTTTGGAGTGAATTGTGGCCGGAAGATATCAATTTTTGTTGTTGGTTTTCGAGACTTTTTAACTTACAAGTTCATAAGGAGTGTGTTATAGATGGTCGTGCCATAATGGTATGTGGAGATGATCATGACGAAGGAACATTAGAGGCGGTGTTAATTTTTCATGTAAACCTTTGGGGGTGTTTAGGATTGTTTATTTGAAGTGTTTATTGATTCATGGTTTGACATTCGGTAATAAAAAGTTTTAAGCGTTTAGATATAAAGATTTCATAAACACTAATTATCTTATATAATAAGTTTTTGATAAGTTGATTCCCCTTACTCATTCACTTATTTAAAGAGTTTTTTATATGTTATTATCTAATTACACATGTAAGTACCATTTGTCAAACACTAAAACGTAACTTATCAGTTTATTATGTTTTAAGTATGGATAAAATCAACCAAACACCTTTTTTTTAAATACTAGATAAACTAATAAATAACTTTTGATAAAAAAAAAAGTTATAAATAAGCCATCCAAAATACCTCCTTAGTCGACTTGGTAAGGCGCCTATTTTTTCCTCAGAAATACATGTTTAATTTCATGGAACTATGTCGTCTTTTAATTCAAGATTACTTTTCCTTTCTTTGACTTGTCATAGTAATTATCTTTTTGTTTTGTTTACGTATAACTAATTTTTTTTATATATTTGATCACTTAACTTGTTAAATATTACCAGTAACTTGCTATCTTAATTGACAATAATAACATATGAACACATTTAATAAGTTAAATTGTCAAATATGTAGAAAAAATTGGTCTAAATGTGAACAATTTTTTTTAAAAAATTTCTTAAGATTTTTTTTTTAAATTTATTACAACATTTTAAGATATTTTTTTCTCACAGGTTTTTCTAATATAATATTTTAAACTTTGTTTAACTTTTTTTTAAATATTTTCAAATAATTTTCATATATCTACTTGTAAACCAAATATTTTCTAAATGTTTTAAACTTTTCTTACAAGTATATATATATATATATATATATATATATATATATATATATATATATATATATATATATATAT